GGAGGCTTCCAAAATCCAAATCAAAGAGAGATATTATGCCTTCAAGCTTAAAAGCTTCAATAAAAAAGGTAATTTATGGTGCAAACTTTAACTTCAATTCCATTTTATAAGTAATCTCCGGAGGACATTTACATAATGCTCATGTGTAAGGTTTCAGATTGTGTAAATGACCCTTGGTACATTTTACGTTTTCGATTATTATTGTCTGTGGAATCATTTCAGTTTATTACATATCTAATATTTACCCATTTTAAAACAAGTGTGCTCTGCGCATCATGTGACATTGTTATTTTTTATTTTACTATGTTTCAAGTTTGCTTTGTATGAGTAGTTTACAATTACCATTTATCAACCATGGGTGATACCTCCATTCCTCCAAACTATGGGGCCTAATCCATGGGTATGGATTTTTTCTTTCTTTCATAAAAAATGTACGAAGTATATGCCAGTTAGTGATTATCCAACAATTTCTAGAGATATCCATATCATGAAATATTGACAGCTGCATTATGTTTTTTAAATGTCTTGGAATCACTTTGTCAACATGCTATTTGTAATTATGGGTATAATTGTATGATAGAAGTCTAAGTGTATCTTTTTTGTTAAATCAAGGTTCATATTGGTAGCCTTTTTGAAGACTTGATGGTTATTGCATAAGATCCTATAGTTAGGGGACTCATTTGCAACGAGGGGTATGGCTAATGTTGTTGGTAATTTGGTGATGGTATGCTCATTAGTCATTATTAGACAAGTTATTGGTACGGTGCAATGGCTTCTGATGTTTTTGGTTAACATTCTTATTTATTAAGTTAATGTGCATGGTGCATTGTGTTAAACGTTTGCTTTGAGTTTTCTTATTGGAAAATATTTATCATTTTAATTAGGGGTGGACTAGACGGGTTCTTATCCGGTCCGCCGTTACGTTCCGGTTCCATACGGCTGTTTTCACCCCGCCCATAGAATCCTAACCACTTCAGGATGAACCAGTTCTAGTCCAGTTTTGGCCCGGATGTGCGTGTTCAAATCTATTTATTTATCAGCTTTTCGAATTTTGTTATTGTGTTTTTAACTACTCTAAACTCTAAAGAGTAAGATTTCTTCAATGTTATTATTTGTACAATTTCTCTTGATTCTCGAATGTCAAATAGATCTTTCTGCACCATAGCAGTTACATGTCAAAAAATTAGATTGAATTGGAGCCGGTTGAATTGGAGATGGACAAAGGCTGAAATGAAGAACATATGAATCACATGATATCGGGAAAGTGATTTTTCGCTATTTTTTGAAAAAGAGTAATGGCAAGAAAGTAGATAGATATTTTTTTTTAGTTTTGTTTCTTAACACAAAAATGACATTAAGTGATATGGAGTATATCAGTATATGTTTTGTGTATCACTTTAGTTACAAAACATTTTCCCCTCCATTTAGCAGAATGTTTGACAAATATGAGTCTTTTATTGTTCCGTTCCTTCAAATTATGAAAATGCCTCAAATGATTATTTATGCGTCATTTTGGTTGCAAAATGCATTTTTTCTCTTTGGTTAGGATATGATCCAAGGGAGATGTCTTTTATTTATTCCTCTTGCAAAATTGTTAAAAAGAACTTGAGGGTGATTAGAGAAAATATTAGAGAAAACATTTTTATGAGGTTTCTGCGAAGTTATCTTTCACTAACACCATAGGTCTTAAATGAATTTATCTTAGTTATGCTATCTGATAATCTTATCGAAATTTATAATGCTTTTGTTAATAGAATGGAAATGATTTTTTGTTAATTGAAATAACTAATATATATATATACTTTCTCTGTTTCATAAAATTCTTATCACTTACATTTTTTGGATGTTAAAAAAATCTTCCAGTTTTCTATTGAGAAAATGGAAACTAATAATCCCACCCTCTAGATCAGAGGCACAACATCTTCCAGTTTTCTATTGAGAAAATGGAAACTAATTTACCCAACCGTAATTCAACAATAATCTGACATTTGCACAACATCTTCTTTCATTGTTCCCTGACCAGTTGATCGTCTGCTATTCCAGGTTTTTTTTTGCAAAACATTAAACCATAAATTTCACCTTTCACAAATCTTCTCCAAACGATACCACATACGGAGTATCATTTTGCTTTTTTCAACCTAAAAGTTTTCTCTTTTTTTATCATCTTGAGTCTTATTACATTTTTTTGTATTCTTATTCTTATTTTTATTTCTTTTTCAAGTTTATGTATTCCATTTTTCCTTTTTTCTTCCTGTTTATTATTTCATTTTCATTTTTATAAATTTTTCAGATTGGTTCCCTTCTTATAAAAGAACTTTTTCTCACCCTACTAATTTTTTTATTTTACTCTCTTTTTTACTTCCATTTATTTATTTCATTTTTCTTTTTTTTACCTTGATTTCACCACTAATATATTTTCCTCTTTTCTGAAAAAGTTCAATGAAAAAATATAAACAAGTAGTCGAGAAACAAATTATAAACATATACTACAACAATTAGGAATACATAAAAAAGGAAAAAATTATCGAATTAAAATTATAAAAAAAACTCTCATGGTAAATGGATAAAAGGATACATAAAAAGGTAAATAATTGAAAATATAAAGGAAGAAAAAGGAATAAAAGCATTGTGATGATAAAGAAAAAAGAGAAAACTTTTAGGAAGAAAAAAAGAAAAAATCATATGTGCATTTTGAGAAGATTTGTAGAACATGAGATTTATAATTTAATGATTTGAAAAGAAAAGAAAATAATCTGAAATAATAGGTCATCAACCAGTCAGGGATTGATTAAACTAAAGAAGATGAAGTGCAAAAGTATAATTATTCCTGAATTACGGTTAGGTGAGACTATTGTAAACGATCGCTGAAATGTGAGATTATTAGTTTCCATTTTCCCTTTCTTTTTTGGAAAGTTTTGTGTGGCTAACATTCATTTACATTTTTTTTGTTGAACCACAATAATACATTTTCACTTTATTCTCACTCTCTTAAATTCAGATCCAAGTCAAACCGAGAAGAATTACATAGAGCAGAGGAAGTATATCTTAAGTTTTATAGAGTGCAATTTTCGTATTTAATGTGGCAATAGTATTTAAATCTATATGTCGTGTGTTTGCTATTTTGATTGTGATGAATGTGATAGCCTTATCCTATGGGCTATGGTGATCTGTCAAATTATATCTTATAGTCGATTAGTAGTATATGTTTTTTATATAGGTTTTTGAGATCCAAGTGAGAAGTAATAGTAAATAAAAACTTCAGCGCCTCTTTAGAAATTTTTCTCCAACTTTTATTTCATTCTTAGTAGTTGCAGCCGCTATAAAAGTTCTAAATCTCGGTTCATTATTTTTAACTGTATAAAAGAATGAAATGCTACACACAACGATGTTTATTTGGTACTCATGTCGGTTCTAATTCCACAAAGTGCATTCACGGACAAAGATAACTAAGCTCATAGAATAAGAAAAAGGAAAACCGCTAGAATATACGTAGTATGTCACTTTCAATAGAGTACTCTGTTAATTTAAAAGTATATTCTTCAAGCATGTCTGAAGTGGTGTTAACAATATGATACTAATTCCACTTTTACACCCTCACGTTTATCAGCACCGGTACATTTGGTGGATGATGTAGTGTCTCCCTTTCTGAGGATGCAAGTGCTCCACTACGGTATCTCGAGGGGCGTGACAAACAAAAAAGAAAGAAGATAGCCAAAAATAAGAATTTTAAGACGGACCATGTGATGCTTGAGTTCATGGAAAGAATGAATAGGTAATGTGAGTTAATGAAGAAGAGAAGAGAGGAGAGGTATGAGGAGGCGAGGTTGACTATTGATACGGCTACAAGGCATAAGAATATAGAAAATTAGAAATCGTAACCATGGATGGACCTAACTCCGTACTCACTAAGAAAGCAAGGTGGCTCTGAAAGAAACAAAATGTCCTCTTGGATTACGATCAAAACGCCCCAAGTAACGTTGCCACCACTTTCGCTGGAGGAGATGACTATGCCACCACATTTGACTAGAGCATGGACGGTTTCAAAAGCTGTATTTCAATTTTTAATGATTTATTTGTAATAGTTTTTATTGTTAGTTCAATAACTTGTACCATCAATAACTTAGCTGACGGAATTCATACTACATGAGCTACTTTTATCAAAACAATTAATAAATGTGACACCCCTAAAAATATCTTTACTGCTGAGCAATATGTCTATCACAAATATGTTGAAAGATCGTCTGGAATGTTACAAACGAGATGAGCTATCGTACGAGGGTCCACCCGAATATATCAGACACAGACTTGTGGTGGTACCATGATCACATGCATTATCGTACACAACCTAATTGTAGAAGACGAGTATGAAGAAACCGATGAAGATCCAAGTCTATGAATTAATCAAGACTATGAAGACTATGACTATACTATTTCGCACATTGAATTTGATCTTAATCACTATATCTCAAACTTTGCCATATAATCGCAAAAGGGACTCGTGAATCATTTGTAAAAGCATCACAGGAACGACATGTGGTTGATTCTTTTTCTCCTCTTTACTGTTTTCCATGCACATGTGGCATTAGGATTTGTTCTCCTTTTTTATTATCAAAATCAGTGTTATTTGTGCCTCAAGTATTTCATTGTTAGTATTCAAATCCAAAAACGTGTGTTTCAATTTGTTCATCTTAATAATCAACAAGTACATTGTATTAAAACTGCAAAAATAATATAAAAATAATGTAAGATTTTGGAATTTATTAGAAATTAAACTCAAGTGTGCTGTTTTTAATACATACAAAAAAATATGTTCATATTTTTAATTTTTAACATTAGAAATCAGGAAGTTTAACGTTTTAAATCATAATTATTGTTAAAAATAAAATTATAGCATAAATGATATGTAATAAAAAGGATTTATGCATTTAATTAAAAAAGCTTTTTTATAAAAAAATAAATAAATAAAACTGGGTGAATATATCGACAGTGTTAAGTTGCAGGAAAAAACTGAATTGACTGAGTAAATACCTATAAACTTGCGGACATTTATTGATGTAGAGAATTGTGATTAGCCTAAAACGACCTTTTTATTCGGTCACTTCTATAGCATCTATCTTTTTGTTATTTACTTGCTTTCACTAATAGACTTCTGATACAGCAAGTTAAAAAAAAGTGACTACGAAGCTCTAAAAGGAGGAGTCATGCCGAACAGAGAACCTCATCAGACGGTGCATAAAAGTCTAGCACCAAATGATATTCTATTCTAAATGGTAAAGAGACAATCATAAAAGTCTAGCACCAAATGATATTCTATTCTAAATGGTAAAGAGACAATCAGACAAGTACTTCCGTGCCTAATGATATTTAGCTTAGAGCCTTAGATTAGGCAGCATCAAAGTCCCTGGGCAGCCCAAAAGTAATAATGAACATGAGGAATGAAGCCATATTGTCAAATCTAACACATATTAAGCTCCCAATAGCCAATGGGTGGTGAAAATTTGTTAAACAGTCGCCATATATAATATATGTAGATTCTCAAACCAAAATGATGTGCGTTAGCTACAAAACACATCTCCGGTCATTCAACAGACACTACTACTCTCTTTCGATCTGAATGGTGACGTGGGTAATATTGAATTCTCTCTTTATATAGTCAATTACCTTGTCAAGTACAACGTCAGCATCTGCTTCCTTCTTAATCTTGACATGGCAAGCTAAGAGCACCTTTCCCACAGTTATTGCCCATATATGCAATTCATGAACTGCAACAACCTCCTCCATCTCACATAGACCCCTTTCGAGCATTGTTGCATCAATCTCTCTGGGTGTGCTCTCCATCAGAACCTCGAGAACATTGCGTATCATCCTAATGGTTGTCCCCAGCACGAGAGCCGAGAACATTAGAGTGCAGATGAGGTCAATAATCTTCCACTCTGGTTTGTACCATATGATTGCTCCACCAATCATAACACCCACACTCTGAATTGAATCTCCAAGAACATGAAGATAAGCTCCCTGCACGTTTATATTCCTCACCTTCTCCTTTTTCACTCGTTTTGACTCTTCAGAACATGCCTTAAGTAGGGGCACGGCATGATCTGGTTCATGCTCACTGTGATGGTGATGATGCCGACTCGCTATCAGACCGTTTTTGTGCACATCGTCATGATCATTATGACTATGAGCATCTCCATGGCTGTGATCATGATTGTGCCCGTGATCATGACCATGACCATGACCATGCCCATGGTCATGACCAAGCAAGACAGCCATGATTATATTAACCACCAGCCCGAAAGCAGAAACAGCAAACATGAGGGAGCCCTGTACTTCACCTGTATCGTGGATTAATCGATCAATGGCCTCGTAAACAAGGATTCCAGCAAGAAGCCATATCATTTGAATAGAAACCAGAGCCCCTAGTATCTCGATTCTGAAAAAACCATAGGACTGGCGTGGGGTAGCTTCCCATCCAGCAACCCACAATGAAAACAATGATATTGCAAAAGCTGCAACATCTGAAAGCAAATGAGCCGCATCTGTCAATATTGAGAGACTGTTAGCTTTAATGCCTCCAATGACTTCCACAGTCATAAAGATTATGCAGAGAACAACAGCAATCCAGAGTTTCTTCATTGATGCTGATCTCTCTTGTGTGTCCCTTATACTCGTTTTTGCATCTGAAAATCCACATGGTGCTTCTCCACACACTGCCTTATTACTACCAACAACATCCTCCACGTGTGGAGATGGCACATCACCACATACCTGAATTACATGGTTTTCAGTCTCTGTGATTCGTACATCCATCTGAACATGCAAGATACAATTATACAAAATCATCAGGCACCGATCATAATGAATGTTTCTGTCATCAAATTAATATATCTCAAACTATAGTTGCCTCGAAAATAAAGAGATTGAAGAAGTGATTCAATAAGAGCTACTAAGAGTATGAGAAGGATGATCAAAGACTTATATTCTGTTATGCTTTTCCACACTGACAGACAGTACAACGCCAGGTTAAAGACGTCAAGGTCATTCTTGGGTAGTTGGGTTGATAAAGTTCCTCAAACTGTAATACTCCCTTCATTTACTTTTACTCGTTTCAGTAGGTCTATTCACACCAATTAAGAGTAAAGCTATAGTGGTAGTAAATAGTGCATAAAATTGAAAAAGGTAGTCGGTAAAAGATGAAATAGTAAGAAAAAGTATTAACAAGAAGATAAAAAAGTTATGAAATAGTAAAAAAGTATAAAAGAGAGGTAAAGAGTTAGTATAATTAAATAATTATGTCTTGATATGATGGCAGTTGCCAAAACAGAAAGTGGAGCAAGTAATCATAATAATCAAATCATAATAATAAGCTCCCAAAAAAGAATAGAGGGGCATAGAAATGATAACAAAGGAAATACTAAAATTGAAGACAAAAACTAGAAGTATTAAACTGCAACAATGATTGGCCTAATAGAAAACACCTTCATCATATTAACAAAACCATTATTCGCTCTCACGAGTTATCAAAAGGGATTGCTACAGTAGTTCAGAAGTAGGACAAATGCCCAACATCCCAAGGTACAATAGTCATTACAATACACACTGATCCTCCTTGGCTGAAATATATGTTTTTCAGATTGGCCAAAGTAGACTGTGCAGCAGCCAATTCAAAATTGGTGACTACATGTAGAACTCAAACAGAAAATATGAAGCCTAGTTTCCTAACACATTTTACAGTAAAAATCAGTCAGAAAAAAGAACAAGGTTTGGAAAAAATAAATACCAATATTTGTTTAGATGGGAATCCACGCCTCATGATAATGTTTCCCCTTCCTTTTGAGGTCCGTGTGGAACTCAGAAAATGCTTTGGAAAGAAACTAGATATGATATTATAGAAGAAATTTGGAAGGAGATAATGTTTGAACAGAATAAAACATAAGTGGCTTCGTTCAGACTCAAGAAGTTTATGATTATTATTTGTTCGAATCCATTTTTATCATTACTTCTAGGTTCTAATCTATAAATTCTCAGAAATTTAAATACATGTAAAAATAGATAAATTAATCATATTTTACTTGCAATTTTCAGAGGCAAAACATGGCACACGAAATTAGAGGAGAGGATGACGGCAATAACCCCACCGAGCAGGCATTTATGAGGAAACAAAATTAGAACTGGGCTGATTGTCAGAATAAATTGATAGCATGTTCCACGAATAGAATCAGGGCAAAGAGACATTCATTCAACATTAAAAAAAAGGCATCATTACACTGGAAAAGTAGAATACGGCTGCAGATTCACTCGAATAAGCCGAGTACACAAATTCAGGCGGTCTACCAATTCCTAATGAAAACACACGGGGGATTCCAGAAAAACAAAAAGCGGTAAAGCAATCGAATTTCAAATAAATTCCTGATCATTACGAAACTATCATGTTTAAGCACGTAGAGATCTAGAATACAATGAGAGTGCAGTATATGTACCTCTCGGTTGAATGTTTTCTGCCGCTGTGAAGGAATTGAAGAGGAATCCGGTTTGCAAATATACGAGGCAGCTAAAGGTGTAGCGTGAGTGCTGGCGCAGATCCAATACGTCAAGCAACGCCCACTACGGATCAGTTTGGAGAGGGAATACGAGTGTGTGGAAGATTCCTGAATATACCTTGGGTAATGATATACGGAGTACTATGTATATGGAGGATTATTAATACCACCTTTTATCGGTTCATCCTATCCCAATCCTGATTCATAAAAGTTGTCTCAAATTTCAATCCCAGTCTATTTGGTATGCATTCACAGAAATAGGCATGTCAACGGGTCCAAGGGCGGAGAGAGTGGGGCATAGGAAGCCTGTCCCATGTATTACATTGGGCATAAAGATTAAGAAAGTGTGGTAGAAAGATTAAAGAATCCTACTTTATTGTATTGTCCATTCTTTTACTTTTACTGTTCATTAAACAGGAGAGGTATAAATGGTAATCCACTTTTAGTTCTTTACCAAAAAGGGAAACAAGATCATCATTTTGGGACATCCCAAAAAGGAAATACAAGACCATCATTTTGGGACGGAGGGAGTATTAAAAAATAGAGCCAGAGGCCCATTCAAAAAATTATTCGGCCTAGTCCATTGCACCTGAAGTCCCAAATCCAGGAGAAAGCTTGTCCCTTCGGAGCTCGGTCTTCTGCCGGGTAGCCGCCGAGAGCCTGAGAGGCAGACTGGCCAGAGCTCAGAGATGTCGACGCCCGCTAGTCGTTGCCCATCAGTCTACCATTGCCCGCGTCTACCTTTCTCACCGCATCCAACCGTGCAGCCCTTGTCTGCTATCCTGCTCCGGTGCTCCACGCTACCGGCCGGCTACTCCACTTAGAAACTTAGAGCTCGTTTGATAGCAAGAAAATCGGTTGATTTGGCTGATTTTGCTGAAATTTATGAAGTTCTGACTGAAGTGGCTGCATTGGCTGATTCTGCTAATTTAAGAAAAAAAATTAAAATATATTTTACAAATAAAATAAATAAAAAATTATGTATAAAAATGGCTAAAATGATCATCTACAGTAATTTCAGCCAATATAGCCAGAAAAGTAACTCAAACCTTACATTTTCTGCTTATTTCAAAATTTAGCGCGCGAAAGCAAAAATTACGTGTTTGGTGAAAAGGTTGGCTGATAAGCCGAAAAACTGTGGTTCCAAACGGCCTCTTAGACTTATTCAAGAGTCAGAGGAAGATAATCAATTATTTGTAGAGATGGCAAGGGGACGTGTTTGGGGCGGGGTTCACTCCCCATTCGTACCCCATGTCTAAAAAATTCGCATCATCCCCACTCCATCCCCGCTACTCCCAGATCCGCCCCAGCCCCCCGCCCCGTTGTCCCCCACGGGTGCCCGCGGATGTCCACATATAGATTTAACTAGTTTTTTCACGCGCGTTGCGCAATTGAGTAATGCCTAATGTGAATTATAATGCAAATTATAGCACAAAGTATATTTCTTATTGACGTCAAGAAATTGTATCGAAGAAGTTTGTTGAACATAAGCGGGTGTTCAAGTTTAAAGAAAGAAGTGAATATAAACTAATTTTTAGAGAATCTTGACATATTCTCTTAGATATTGTAGAGTTATAAATATACTAGAATTACATAGGAAAAGTGTGTATTTCAATGTGGTGCAAGCACACCACGCAATATAGTTTGAGGGACTAAAAAGCTTCTTTCTCCCCTTTTAACTTTATAGTTAGATCTTTCAAAAGTTGCTGATAAACCTAGGAACAACAAAGTACCTTTGCACTGAAAAAAACATATCAGTCACTTATTTTTTTAAGAAAAGATACAAAGTTTTAGAATATTAGACTTTTATTGATAAAAAGAAGGGGGATAAAATATTTCAGTTTAATAATTTCTCCTACCTCTATTTCATTGCCCATGTGGATATGAACAAGAATCATAGAGTATGTTTCCTTGCCTCATGTTGGTTGTTAATTAAGCTAATAAACTACCAACTTGTCCATCAAATGAATGTATAATCATCTGCTCCATTTTCAATTGGAGTCGATTGACTTGAATCTATCAACTAAGCATTGGGCACAATGAGTTCTCATTTAATCATAATATTAAAATGATGAGACAGAAAATAAATATATATAAACTCTCGTGCAAAAAACACAATCTTTAGATGAAACACCTACCAGTGAGAGGATTACACATTTACACTCATGCCAGAAATCTAAAAAGCTATGTCATTGTTGGTCTTATGGGGGATCAGCACCACCCTTTGATTCAGAGCATAACCGCCCAACCTGTTGGCACCACGATGTGGTGCAGCCCCTCATGTCCATTCGCCACTCAGTAGTGGGGCTCTGCATTGCCGTAGTGAATTGTGGGGGGTGCCCCACAGGAATCTACCTTGACTTGGGGACTACAGAGTAATGGGTTAAATAGAGGGTGTCCACTTCCTTATCACCAATTGGTTTTAAGAAAGATATGACTGCTATTTAACCACAAAACTCTGGAATTAAGTGAGCCCGGGGTAAGAAAGCCCAAGGATGGGTGACCCACTGAGAAGTTTGTCGACAGGGGTGAATCGATCCAACAGTCTACCTCCCATAAAAATGAAAAGATTAACATGGAGATTTGATGCATTGCATGTCTACCTCCCAGCACCTTAATGTACGTTTCAAGTGTTTTTATAATCTATCTTGATATCATTATATTACAATACCAAGATAGTTTTGAATTTAGCACTAAGCATTGCATCAGAATAGGCATGGACTCGGTTCGGGCCGACCGGCCCGGCCCGGAAAACCGGTTCCGGTACCGGGCTTAGACCCGGCCCGAGGGGGTAACCGGGGGCGGTTCCGGGTCATGAAAAAAGCGAATCAGCCCGGCCGGTTTGGGCCTTTTTTTGGGGTTTTTTGGGTTTGGGCTGGGTGTTTCCGAGGGGTTTAGGGGGTGGGGGTTTAAATAAATAAGAAAACACAATAAAAAAGTAAACCGGAACCGGATCGGGCCCGGTCCACCCCTACATCAGAATGGTATACGACACTAACAAGGTGTATATTACACAACCAATATTAGGTTAAAACAAAAGGTAATGTAAATGATGTTTTACCTTCCAAATAGAAGTCTTTATGCTCAGGAATGGCAACACCTTCAAGAACACATGTATAAGGATGTATAAGGGGGTGTTTGGATCTGATTCTTAAAACTGCTTCTGCTTCTTCAAGGAGCAGAAGCTGGAGTGTTTGGGTGAAAGTGCGGAAGTGATTCTGGTGCTCTAATTTACTCCTAGAATCAGTTTTTTGAGAAGTTGGGGGTGACCAGCTTCTAAAAACTAATTCTGCTTCTGCTTTAAAAAAGAAACAGAAGCAGAATCAGTTCCAAACACCCCTAAAAAACTCAAATTAGTGGGTGATGTAAAACAATCTTTATGAAAATTGTTCTTGGATAGAATGTGCAACCCCTAATCCAAAATATGTGACATTCAAATCATTATACGTCTTATGAAATTAGGGAATGATAATGTTGGCTCATGAACAATGATGAGGAGAAGAGCGAAAATGAAATACCGCGTGTGAAACCCTTATATGTTAGTGTTGAAGGGGTTAAGAGTTTTGGTGATAAATATTTTTAGTTATTACGTATTATTATTCTAATATAATATGTATTAATTCATTAACCGTGACTAATGCACATATAAACATTTATATATGTCTATATGTATGTGTTTGTTATATCCTACATACTCCATAACTTACTTAAATAGGTTTATACATTATTTATATATTGTGTGTATGTTTGTATATATATCTATGTTTCATTTTATATTATAACGGGGATGGGGCGGATGTAGCAATCCCCGTCCCCCTGCCCCATATTTTAGCGGGGTAAAAATATCTCACCCATCCCCTTTGCCCCAAACCCCACCCATCCTCCCCCACGGGCCCCATCCCCCCATTGCCATCCTTAATTATTTGGCATTACAATCGACGAAAAACTCAAAAACCGTCAATTATCTTCTAAATGATTTCATCTAGTTTAAGAAAACCTTAAAATCAAACTCTGAGACAGTCACTACCAAAGAATAAGCGTGAATCGCTGACTACCAAAAGACATCATAGAATTCTTTTCTGACCCTTAAGATCACCGTACTCTATCACATCAATAAATTCAAAACAGCCGAAGAGTTTCTTCAGTTCATGACCGTCATAGTTTTTATTTGAAAATTGTAGAACCCTTAGGTGCGAAGTTAGTTATTTTTGAAATGCATGATTTCAATGGTTTGATGATTGCCGCAAAAAATAAACATAATTGTGATCCCAAAAAACTGTAAACGATTCCGTTTTACACATTTCTTAAAAATCAATTTGTTCTAAAATTAAGTTTGCTATTGCCATAGATCTCTATTTTACAGAATATATAAACAGTAGACACTTCTGAGCTTATTATGTTTTAGTTTAATTAAAATGTATATTTATTTGAATATTTTTGGGGTGATTAAAGTGGTGTGAATTTATACGTGGTATAATATTACAATTACCATGTATCAACTAGGTTTGTTGATAGGGGAGCTAAAGATTCCAAGGTTTTTTTTATCATCAAAACGACTTTTCATTAATATAGAGCAAACATGTAAGAGAAAACTCAGACAACTATTACAGATCCGCTCGTAAGCCCTAAGAATAGACTTAGAGTCAGCCACCCATACAACAACCTGACTCGCTAGACACAAAACGGGCAAGAAGAAGTCTAAAACGATCGAACATGAAGTACCACCTATCAAAGGTTCTTCAAAAATCAAAATACTTAAACCATATCTGATATCTGCTCGAACTGAAATAAAAATGAGTACTACAAAAGAAAAAATAATACGAAAATAAAAACTTTCCCCAAATTGCTTCCACGCATGGAGGTGGTTCCGGAGGAGGGCGAGCAGTTGAAGTATGGTAGAAGAGAATTTCAACCCCCGGAAAATACATCTGAAACCCTGTGCTTCTTGCGCTCGTCAATATGCTCTCGCCAATTTGCTCCTTGAGATTTTCCATTGAAATCCATGTCCAAGGCGCAGAAGAAAATTGTATCATGTTATCTTGTGTTTCTTCGCTTAAAAACTCCAAGCCGCGCCCCCACCGCCCTTTGTGTTCCATTCATGTTCTGAAACTCCAATCATGAAGCTCTTGTTCCACAAAAAACCCAACCGCACGAACAAAGCTCGATTGGCGGAACAAAGAACCCTAACTAGTGTAGGGAAACGGCCGCTCCTCG